CAGCTCGCGCAGGAATGGCACCGGCACGGGGACGGGGACGGGGAGCACGCGCTTAGGCGCGGCGGCGACGGAGTATGGCGAGCTGCAGCGCGCGGCGAAGTTGAAGGCATCGGGCGGGGCGGGGCTCGTGCCGGAGGTGCATGATGGCGCGGGCGGGCTGGCGTCGCGCCAGGCGAGTCTGATGTATGGCGTGGGCAGCGATGGCGGCGCGAGCGAGGCGGGGAGGGCCCCTGCGTCGTCGAGGGCAGGGAATGTGCCCGGCGGGTACCCGACGAGTGCGTCGGGTGGGTCGTCGGTGTCGGTGTATACGGATGCGCGGTCGAGGCCGGAGGAGGATGAAGAGGCGGAGGAGAGGCAAAGGGACGCGGGGAGGTGGAGCCCGCTTGCGACGTGGCAGTCGTATTGGAACTTTGGCAGCACGGCGCAACGATGAGTGCAGTTGCGGTCGTTTGTGGTTTGTGTTTCGTGTTTCGTGTTTCTCTAGAGGACTCCGGGCTGTGGTTGACCGCCTTGTGTCGCCTCAGTCCCCAGTCATATACTCATACTCATACAATACCTCCAGCTTCACACCACGGCGATGCTCGAGAGTACCGGTACTCCCATACACCCTTCGTCTTCTCCCCTTGTACCATATGGACACCCCTGACATTTCACGTTGGCCCCTTGCTGCATCTGTTTATTACTCGCTATCTTGGACCCCGGACCATTTACTTACTACGCTTGCTCTCGTGCATATGCTCTGCCGTGCCACGCTACATGTTTCACGCCGGTCTCACGTACACTCTCAGATATGTTTAGTTACGAACTCTAGCTACAGCTGTCCATTGCTTGCATACGAACATAATGCCGAACTTTGTTGTATCATGGAGGTGGACTTGAGGTTGATCTGTCCTGACTATTAGTATGCCTGCAGATCTTGTCGTGGAATCTCAGAAAAGATGGCTGGATTCTTCCAACCGCGGCGGTATTCCACTGCTTGTCTTCGATCAGCCTGAAGCATGGAATATGTTAAATTCGCCTTTGGACGGTCTGCACCGCCGCACATGGAGGCCAAGTAGCCCAAGCTACTCCAAAGAGTATATATCAAGTATACATATATTTATTAATTCGACTTTACCAGCTCCAAGCTGCAGTATAGCAATTCTGGCTTGGACTTGTATGAGCTCGGATAAGCGCTCGCCCGGTCCGCCTAGCGGCCCGGTGCCAGAGCGCTTATCCTCCCGGGCGCAGACGGCCTCCCGCGCCCTGCGACGAACTCGTTTCTAGCGCCTCTACCGTCCCAAACGCCATGGTTGCACGTCGCACCTTTTGCTGTGAGTATCGTCCATACACTTTCTGGGCATCCAACGGCCGTTTGTTGGTCATAGACGCGTGCGGCGGTTCAAACGATACAAAGTCAGTACTCCTTTTGCCTCGAGCACACAGGACATACACCGCCCGATGACTAGGACTCAGGAGGCGTACTGCTCTTGTCACCGTTAGTGGCACGCTTCACATTCGTATGTTTTCTTTCCTGTATCGATGCCGCTTCATGGGGCCCAAATCCGATTCGCGCGCGGCCTTTCTTCTTCCCTTTCTCCCGCCGGGACGAACACGTGTAGCGTGGCTTTGAAAATGTGAAAGCCCGGCCACAATGCGAGGTTTCATTGTTCCTCTGACATATAAGGTCGTGCTCCCGCAGCGATGTGGACTCCCCACACGTCTCCCTTCTTGCGTCCTGCCATCTCCCCATCGGTCTGTGACCAACCTTCTCTGCTGTTCCCCCGCTGTGTCGATATCATAATCTATCTTCCTTTCTTCATCGTCATCTACCTACCTACATCTTCTTCAGTCTAACCAAAATCGCAATCATGATGTCGGCGTACTCGTACAATCGCCTCTTCCCGTCTCCCTCCAAGCAAGAACGTGCCCCGCCTCGCCCACTCTCTCCCATCTCCCCCACCTCGATCCCGGCGAACTTCTTCAACGGCCGCTGCTCCCCGCCCTCCGAGTTCGAGTCCGGGTCCGGCACCGAAACTGAAACCGACGGGAGCAGGGTCGTGACTGGTACTGGCACCGGTATCAGGACCCGACCCAAAACCGGGACCGCCCCGACCCCGCCGCGCGCGCCCCTGCGCGACCGCGCGAACGCGAACAACCGCCTCTTCATCACCGCGCCCCCGCCGACGCCCCGCAACGTGCGCCCGTATTCCGACTCGGCCCCGCGCACGCACTCGCGCGCGATCCGCACGCCATACCCGCGCCCCGTGCGCAACCACGACCGCTCACCCATCCCCTCCACGCCCTCCTCGGGGCCGTCTTTCCTGTCCCCGCGCCCCGCGCCGCCGCCGCCTGCGCTCCTCTCGCCATTTACCCTGCGCGTCCCGCACGCATCCACCTCCACCCAATCCCAAGCCTCAAGCCCGACGATCCCCTGGGCCTCCGCGCCCGCCTCGCGCGCTCCCACACCCGCGCCCGCGCCCGCGCCCGCACCCGCCGCCCCCCTCTCGCGGCACAACAACCCGCACTTCGCGCGCATCGCGCCCGACCTGTACCTGACGCACCTCGTGCCGGGGCACCCGCCGCCCAGCATGCTCTGGACAGACGTGTCCTGGGGCGCGTGGCAGACGCGCGACGCGACGCACCGCGTCGTGCTGCTCGCGCACGAGGACGCCGTCGTCGCGACGCAGGCGCCCGAGCGCCGCGGCGTGCACGAGCGCGTGGTGTCCGCGGGGCCCGGCGCGGGGAGCGTGCGCGAGCTGCTGCTCGTGCTGCGCGCGGACGCGGGCGCGGGCCTGGGCGTGCGGCTCGAGAGCTGGCAGCTGGACCGCGCGGTGGAGTTTCTGGAGCGCGCGCATGCGTGCTCGGCGTTCGAGGATTCGGAGGACGGCTCGGTGCGCACGGCGTCGACGTGGAGCGGAGGAGTGCGCGCGCGGTGCGCGCTCGTGTGCTGCCCGCCGGGGTACGAGGCGGACGCGGTGGCGGTGGCGGTGGGGTTTATGGGCGGGTGGGAGAGGAGGGGCGTGCCGGACGTCGTGCGGGGCGTGGATGCGAATCCGGAGGTGGGGGAGGAGTGGAGGGATGTGCTGGGGGAGCAGGATGTGCAGTTTATCGCGCGCGCGGTGGGCGTGGGTGGGGTGTATGTCTAGGTATGGGTGAGTTTGAGTGAGATGATATGTTGTCTGTGGTGGATCATGGGTCGTGGTGGTGTTCGATTTTACTGTACGCTCTTTCGCTAATTGTTATCTGGATCCGGACTGTAGCTATTACTCACTGGTGCTGGTGCCGGTGCTGGCGCTGGGACACTAGGTCGCTCCGTTCGTTCATATCACATGTACTTCTACTTTACACTCTACACTCTACACTCGCTGCAATGTAGCTATATATAATGACGGAATGAAGCATTGTCGGTGTTAAATGGGCTATGGTTAGACGTTATATCCAAACACAAAAATCCAAGAGCAGGCGCAAAGCGGGCGGTGGTCATACAGTGGTGGTAGGTGGCTGGTGGCGAGGTAGTAACGAGTTACGAAGCATGGGAAGTTGGGTGGGTAGGCGGCAAGGCGTAGGGGTAGGGGAAGGAAAGCGAAGTGTGAATACAGCGTTTGAAAAGCAGGGCGCAGAGCAGGGAGAAGATGTGGATATGGATATGAATATGGATGTGAAGAGAGCCCGATAAAGTACACCGGCGGGTATATCACGCCTCTGAATCCTGGATAAGATGACTACTACAGCAACACCGAGACTGACGCCGTTAAGCGCTATATGCGATATATGTGCTTGTTGATCTCCTCTGAAGAGAGCTCGCGGCCGCTTAGCAGGAACGCTATTCGGTGCTCCTGCAGCACAATTTAGTTGCCTGCAATGTGCCATTTCCAATTTCAGAGGAACAGGACGCACCTCGAGACTATGTAACGCAAACTGTGGCGCCGCAGACATGGTCATCATCGACGTCGCACCCTCAGTATTATACACAAACAGCGCAGGCGGGATCGGCGTCTTGTTCTTCGTGCCATAGAAGCGCAACTCCTGAACACCAACACAAACAGCCGACATTAATACCCCACACCGTGATGACATACACGCACGCACCTCTTGCGAGAAGAACGAGTACTGCCGCTGGCAGCTCAGCGTAAACATCACATCCCCATTCTCCGTCTCGCACGCGCTCGGCGCGGACACCTGGAACGGCGGCAACTCGCTCGGATTCGTCACGCGCGGCGCACTCTGCGTCTGCGAGCTCGCCTGCGAGTGTATCGACGGCGCGGGCGCGAGCCCGCTGCCTGTGCCATTCGGCGCCAGTCCGAGCGCGCCACCCGTCGGCGGCGTGCCGGACGCAGGCCGCTGCGCGCCCGAGTCGATATACGGCGTGAAGAGCGGGGGCAGGCCGAGCGCGCGCCGCGCGCTGTCGGTCGTGGGCTGCTCAGGGCACGGCGGGGGCGGTTTGCCCGTTTTGCGCATCGCCGCGGCATAGTCTTCGATGCGCTTTTCCTGGGGGCAAGACGCGTGGGTGTAAGAGATGTGTGGCGAGACAGAGGGAGGAGGGGGATAAGGAGAAGAGAGCAGAGGCACACCTCGAAGCTGACTTCCTTGCGCCCGGGCGTCCAGTCTGCGGGGACGTTCATGAGGATCTGGCGGAGGCGCGGGTCGGCCGTTTGGAAGGCCATCGTCGATCGTGGTCAATGGTGCAAGGGCGCGATAGTATAGGGTGGATGGTCACCGCTTGGCTTTGATTTTGGTTCCTGTTGGAGTTGAAGTTGAGGTGGGTAGGACAGAGCGCGTGTGGTGCGGTGTTCGTGATGTGCTGCGGTGATAAGACTGCTGGATGTGTTATTGCAAGGTCCCAAGCGTCGTTACGGTGCGCGATCGATGCGAGGTTGTTGACAGAGCCGCTGAGCGAGCACGCTAGTATTGGGCGTTTCACGGTTCAATGGCAAGAGCTAAGATGGGAGGACGCGTCGTGTGGTGGCGGCAGAAGAAATTAGTACAACATCAGTATTTTGGTAGTCGACACCTAACATGGGCACATGGTGTAGTTGGTTATCACGCTCGCTTAGCATATGTTTATCACGTGATCTGCGAGAGGTGTCCGGTTCAATTCCGGATGTGTCCACATAGAACGTGGCAGTTGCTCTGCTTTTTTTTCTGGACCTAGACGTTGTGCGTTATTTTGCATTGTCGAAAGCAAAGGGCCTATCTCGCAACTACTTACTGCCCATGACCAGATACACCATCTCAACAACTAGCATCTGAGATATAATTGCCGCCGTACAAGCGATGCCTGTCGACTATCTCCAATGAAACAACTGATTCTATACTCAAGAAACACCAGTCCAATATACTCTTTACATCTGCCTCACCCACTCACCGGGGTATCAACATCAACAGTGGGCGGCGTATGCCGCCCGCTCTTCTCCCCTTCGCTCTTCTCCCGCTCCTCCCGCTCCTTCTCCGCCGCCTCCCACGCCTTCAGCTCGCGCTCGTACTCCTCCCAGACCATCGTCCCGAGCACCTCACCGCCCATCTCACCATCGTCCACGCGCTGCTTGCGCGGCTCGGCGTTGCTTTTTCCCGCCTGCGGCTGCGGCTCGGAGTCCGTCTCGGGCGGCGCGGGGGCGGGCGCCACGCGCACGCGCACGACGGCGCACTCGGCGTAGAGCGCGCCGGGCTTGAGCACTTCCGCGTCGCGCGCGCGGTCGTCGGCGTCTGTGGACTCGGGCGTGGTGGCGGCGGCGAGGTACTTGAAGGGCGTCGGGAGAAAGAGCGCGTGCAAGACGGCCTGCATTGCGGAGAAGGACGTCTTAGTGAGGAGGCGCAGGAGGGGGTACAGCAGCACATATCTGCCGCACACCAACACCGTCAGCCATTTCACAGACAGACAGAACTACAAAAACACGCACAGCGCAAGCCCACGCCACGACACCTCGCCCCACGCGCCCGTGTCCGCGCCAAGCAGCGGCGCAACGACGTCCGCGCGGCTCATCCCGGGCGACACGGACACGGCGACGATGTTCGAGCGCTGCACCTTGTCGCTCACGACGGGGATCGTCTGCGCGTTCGCGTCCGTGCGCGGCACCTGCGCGCCCGACGGCAGCGAGTCGAGCACGCGCTGCAGGTGCCGCATCAGCACGGCCGTGCGCAGCGCCCGGCGGCCCTCGCGCAGGAACAGCGGCTGCTCCTTCGCTGTCCTCTGCACCGCGGCGCGCGTGCGTGATGCTGAGCTTGCGCTCGCAGGCGCGGTGGAGGCGGACGTGATAGACGCGGTGAACCCGGGCGCCGCGGCGGCGTAGAACGGGTTGACGAGCGTGATGAGGCGGATGTCGCGCTCGACGGGCGCGATGAGCAGCGCGGGGAGGAGCAGCGTCGTGAGCAGGAACGTCGCGCACGACGCGGCCTGTGCGCGCTCGTCCGCGCGCGCCTGCGCCTGAGGGAAGAGCCGCCCGGCGGGCGCGTACTCGTGGGCGAAGACGACTGCGTCCAGCCGCTGCTTCTCTGCCTTGAGGAAGCCCGTGGCGAAGGCGCGGATCGAGGCGGGCGAGGAGAGGTCGCAGTGCTCCGCATAGATGTTCTCGTTCGAGGTCGTACTGCGCAGGAGCGGGATGAGGAGCGCGGCGAGGCCCGTGTCAATGGGCGTGGGTGAGAGGGTGATTATGTGGGCGCCGCGCTTGGCTAGAGCATCGAGGAGTGTGAGACCAATAGGTGTAAAGGCACCCTATAAGAAGAAGAGGGTCGGGTTGGTAAGTGGATGAAGGTGAATGCGGGGTATGGGGTAGACAAAGGATGGTAGACGGACGCAACTGTGACAAGGATGGTGCGGTCGTGGAGATCGCGCTCGCGGGTCGTCTTGCGACCCTGCATGTAGGTGTACACTGTGATGAGTCCGACGACGGCAACGACGACATGGGTGTAGTATTTCGGCGGCAGGATCGCGGGGATGACATTGTAGAGGATCTTGAGCACCATCGCGATTCGTGTCGTGGGCCCTCCAGCTTTGAGCTGGTGATCTAGATTAGCGCTTGAAACACGGCGTTGTGACTAGTGACTTTGTATATGACGAATAGATGATAGATATGCTGAAAATGTGGCCTGTGAAGAGAGGTACTTGAGTCGTCAGTAGGCGTTGTGCAGAACCAGGCTCATGGACGTCGTGTTTGAGCCGCGCTGGCTGTGGCGATGCCGCTGAGCTCGGCATGTCCCCGTCCTCGTGGCGCTTGACCTAAACCACGTCAAGCTCAAACTCTCTCGAGACTCATTTTGATAAAATTTAGTCCTATTCTACGGTGATTCTCCTAGCTGTATGTTCAAGGAGTTCGAACACAATTTGAAACATTTTTTCCAATTCGAATAACGCGTATGGAGATGCCGAACCCGAACCCGGGGTTAGGTGCCGGGTGACATCACGTCCCCGCACAATCAATATAGACTCGGCCATCTCTCCAGGTCGTCCCAGGCGGGGCCGCAGCTGAGAACGCACCAAGAATACCAGCAACTCACCGTACTCTATTTACACATCCATGGAGTATATATTCTGACCCACACTGGTTCCCATCGACCCAACCGTCGCTCCCACCGCGCGATACACCCCACCATGCCCACCTCGCTCACCGCAGACGAGACTGCCGCCCGCTTCGGCGTGTCCAAGGCCATTGCGCACTTCCCCTCCAACCTATCGCCTCAGGAAGAAAAGAACGTGCGGCTCGTGCTGGAATATATGGAGGTGAGCCCGTTGCTGTGTCCACTCAACCTGCCCGCTTAAAGCGACATTCTTGTAGATCGCGTACTCGCCGACGGAGAACAAGGGCGCATCCTCTGTGGCACATCTCTGCGCCCCGCGGAACACGTTCCTGGCGCCGAGCACGTTCCCAACGGCGCACACGGCCGAAGAGTACTCCGAGGCGCACGCGCACGTCATGAGTGCGCTCCGGGACCTGCACATCATCCAGTTCGACGTCGTCGTCGCCAAAGGTGCTTTTATATCAATTTATCCAATGTACGCGAGATATTGAGAACACTGGCCTGCAGAGAACTTCGTCTCGCTCCGCTACACCGCGACGGGCTCGCACATCGGGGCCGCGCACAACGGCATCCCGCCGACGCGGCGCAAGGCGCAGTGGACGGCTGCGGGCAACTTTATTATTGACGAGGAAACGGGGCTGATCCAGCACTGGTGGAAGGACTGGGACAAGATGCAAAGTGCGTACCAATTATGTCTCTTTTTTCTGCAGTCCGGGATGATGCTGATTCGTGGACCGCAGTGTGGAAGCAGCTTGGATGGGTCCTTCCGGACAATGACAAGGTCGAATTTGCGTGAGAAGCAATCGTCGGGTCCTGCGAAGTTTGCACCAGAAATTATGAAGACTGAATTATGTTGCATTATTTTTGATGTTGTTTCCGGTGCTTGAGGTGGTTGTGTACTGTATATATATCGCATGTTGTCGTCATGGTTCGAGTGGGCTAACTTAAGAAGGTTCCTGCTCGGCACGTACCGAAATCAAAACTCAGCTGTAGGCGGAGTTGATGTCGTCATCGCAATTATATTGGCGCCGACATTCCAATGTTGTTTCGTCTGATGACCGTGACGGACGCAAATATAACTTGCCCCGGACCCAAGCCATAGCTACATCCATCTTTCTCTTTCTCTACGCCACCATACCCGCAAACCCGCAAGACCATGGCCTCAATTCATGAATCTATCGCGATGGAGAAGCCCGTCGAGCGTATACACCCTGACAACTATCAAAGCTGCGTAAAAGAGATAGCAGTTTGGGGTTATCGCGGGAACGGCGGATATGCATGGCGAGGAAGGCAGCAAATTGGTTGAGACGGTTAAGCCCGCACTTCACCGCCATGGAAGCAAGCTCGTCGGACGAGAAGGCGATTTTGGAGGGCTGGCTCGAGAAGGTCGCGAGCGATTACCATGTCGGCAACTTCGTAGTCCGGCGCGATACTGGGGAGCGGTTCTTCGAGAGCATGCCGATTTATCCAAGGTTTGTGCGATGCTGTATAGGCGTAGGGTGCGGTGCAGCGGGCTGACTAGATAGTCTGCAGGTTGGGCATGCATCTGCTGTTCTATGGCGGCACGCAGATCAAGATCTTGCATAACCAGACCGTCGAGAATATCATGAAGGATCTTTCCGTCCGCGTAAGTGCATTTACATTAGGTTTTGAAAGAATTTCCTGATTTACATCGTATGGATCTTGGCGCCTCAGCAAGGCAAGATCTACGACAGCCCCGAATCAGTAAAGAGTATCCCTTCGTTTATTTACACCTACAGCATCGAGACCGACGACCTCGTCGAGCCCGACATAAATAAATATAAATCGTTTAATGAGTTCTTCTATCGGTACGTGCTATCGAATCCATCCGTTACTATCACTCACACCTGGGACCTGTGAACTGACTGGGGCTCGATGTCCGCTGCGCAGGAAAGTCAAGCCCGAAGCACGCCCGATCCAGAACGTGGACGACCCCGCAGGCATCTGCAGCGCGGCGGATTGCCGTCTGACGGTGTACCCGACCGTCGCACTCGCGAAGAAATTCTGGTGCGTCCCGCCGAACGTCGCGACACCACCTATAAAACATTGAATTTCCCGCGCGCAGGGTAAAGGGCGACGAATTTACCATCCCCACCCTCCTCGGCGTGGCGCCCGACTCTGACATCGCGAAGCAATTCGAAGACGCGAGCCTCGCGTCCTTCCGGTACGCGTCTCCGCCACGTTCCTCGCAAGCCCAATCACCTGATTCCTGCCCCCCTTCCTGACAGCCTAGCGCCCGCCGACTATCACCGCTTCCACAGCCCGATCGACGGCACGCTCGGCGCGCGCACGGACATCGCCGGGCAGTACTACACCGTGAACCCGCAGGCGGTGAACGAGCCCGGCTTCGACGTGCTCACCGCGAACAAGCGCAGCGCGCTCTACATGACGCACATGAATCCGGACACCGGCGAGACGGTGCCGGTCGCGTTCGTCGCGATTGGCGCGCTGCTTGTGGGCGGGATCGAGTGGACGGGCGCAAGGGCGGAGGGGAAGACGGTGCGGAGGGGCGAGGAGCTCGGGTACTTTTCGTATGGGGGGAGTACGGTTGTGTGTTTGTTCCCGCGGGGCGCGATA